GCGGGGCATGGTGACAGCCTGGTGACAGGTGACAGGTGACAGGTGACAGCCTGGGCTCTGGTCATCTTGATGGCAATCGACGACACGTCAACCAGCTCAAGACACCAAGCTGAGACGCACTGGGGAGTTGAAGGGCCATATATCGGTCCGGGGCATGTGTCCTCTTATCAGGGCTCTTATATGCATCATAATGTGCTGAAATGTCCGCCATTGTTATCGTTATAGCTCAATAACCGACACTAAAAAGTCTGTTTGTACATATAAATTATGAAGAGCGAGAACGCGCGATGCTACTTGGTCATTCAACAAAATTCATGCGCCTCCGGCGCGCCAAACTGGGCTATCAGCGAACAACTGTCGGCTGTTCCCCTATTGTGACATATTGCGTGCTCCCTTGCGCAGGACTAGCAGTCGTAACGGCGCTCATCACGAAAAGAAGCAGCGTGACGGCCGTTGGCTGATCATCATCCCAAGCCTGGCTTCGACCGAGGACAAACATCTCCTAAGGTCCGAGGCCTATTCGCGAAAGAAACGTTTTCGCCAGCTACCTTTTCCCGCGAGCATCGAAACGTGCGGTGCTGCTGCGAGGTGACGAACGTCCACGGTGAGGTGGGCGGTGAGGTGGGCGGCGCCGCTTCAGCGTCACCGAGGCTGTCCGCCGGAGAGACAGTGATCAAAGGTGACACGCTGCCTCTGACGGCTCCCCGAGGTGCAGAGGCAGCTGGTAAAGCTTGGTCTGTTGACCACGCCTTGTGCGGGCATCGTGAGTTGTATGTTGCGATCCTCGGCACGTTATGTGACTCTTGACGTTTGAAAGCGCGCTTGTTGAACTGTGCCGTACCCGGATTGGAGGCGTCGGTTGGATTCCAAACACTGGCGATTAAAAAAGTTTCCAAACTCTCATTCTGCAATTGAACGGACAGGGATAGATATCTTTGGATTTTTTGGACAGCCGATACAACTCGGCAAAGTTGCAACTTGGTTCACGGAATAAAAGCTCCATGTCCGCGCATCTTGTTAACTAAACCGAGCGTTTCTAGCTTTCGTAGCTTAGTGCGTTCCAAACACTACACAGCACATACGTTGGAAAAAACGGGGCAAACGAACTGTAATACTTTCATAGTGGTGAGCAAGGAATCAAATAAAATTTCTCCCGCAGGGACGGCTACTGCAAATCGAAATTCTGAGCGATTCCGAGCGATTCCGAGAAAACTGACAATGCTCGCCAAATCGTACGTCCGTATTGATATAACAATAAGTGAAAAGTACAAAAAAGGTGGGATGCAATACAGCTTGCCATACAGCTCTCTTCAAGCTAGGCTCGTTTCGTTTTGGTTGATCTATCAAAGGAACGTTGTCTTGTTTAAAAACATATATGCGTCTCCTATCTTTCCGATAACAGCCAGAATAATAACCATTGCCGAATGCATCGGTGACCAAACATGCCACAGATAGCGGCCTCGGGCATGCGCTGCTGACCCCGCCGGCGTGGCGCTCTGGCAGCCGCCATCGCACGGTGGCTAGGTGGTGGTACGAGCCTCGGCCCCCGGCTGGCTGGAGGCCCAGCCGCCGTGCTCCGCTAACGATGAGATCACATGCGGGCGGCGAGCGGCCAAAGGAGCGGCACGAACACTCGATAAATTAGTGGACGGTGAAAAACTTCATCCCCGAGGCCATCGTCAGGTCATCAGGTCAGCGGTGTATATGTACACATATGTGATGTCCGCTTCTGAGGCATCTGCAGTCACCACCTGTGGAATGCCGATGCTTCCGCAAATGTTCCGCAGGGCCTGTTAGCATTGTTGGCTGCCCTACTGCGACTAATCGGCAGTGATGTCTATATGAATGCGGGCCGGCAAGGCTCATCCATGCTATTAAGGAGTGCCCAGACTGGTCCGTGCCAATACGGGATACATATGCTCCATTGCCATCACCGAATGTCCAGACCCACGTCGCTACGAGTCACCCCGAGTTCCATGCCACCGTGAACTGCCCGACTCACCCATATCGTCGCAAACATCAACGTTGACGAACGCCATCGCGAATTACTCCGACTCACCCATGTCGTCAATCATGGGCGCCATGCGCAGCGTGACGCCGATCATGCAGACGCTGATGACGAGCAGGGAGAGCCCGGTGGCGATTACCACCCAGCGCATGCGGCGCGCCGCGCGCTTCTTGTCGCCCTGCGCCAGCGCCGCGCGCTTCCGCACGGCCTGCGCCAGCACCGGCAGCATGGGCGCCACCAGCTCGGAGCCGGCCGCCGTCAGGTCGACCAGCGAGGCCGAGCCGGACACGGCCGAGCCGGGCCGCGGCGAGCGGCCGGCCAGCGAGGCGCTGGAGAGGCGAGACGGCGCCGCCTCCGCCTCGGACGTGTCGAGCGTCGACTGGCGAAGCAGGCCGGACGAGCGCTGGCTGCCGAGCGCGCTGGACCCGGCCCGGTGCGGCGTGGCGCGGCTCAGGCTGCCCGAATCCATGTCGAGCCGCGGTAGGTAGGCGCAGTCGGGCACCTCGACGGTGGTCTGGCGCAGCAGCGTGGCCTGGCGACGGCGCTGCGCCGAGCTGCTGCGCGGCTTCCCGTCCAGGCTCTGCGCCTGCCGCTCCAGCTGCAGGCGGCGCCGGTGCGGCCGGCGCTCGCCGCCGCGCGGCCGGTGCCGGTGCTGGCGCGCCCCGTCGGCGGCCGGGCGCCGCACCGCCGGCCGCGTCAGCTCGGCCGACTGGCTGCAGCAGCACGGCTGCGACCCGGCCAGTGTGCCGGAGCGCGAGCCGCGCGGGCTGGCGGCCGGCGAGGCGCCCAGCTGGCCGTCGCTGTGCGAGAGGTCCGGCGAGCGGCTGCGG